CATTTAAACAATGCTAAACAACGTAAAAGGAGTATTAGCATTGTTTAAATGGAGAAAAGTGGTCATACATTTAGAAAACAACACGTTTCTCTGTAATTATTTATCCAATCTTAACAAATCAGGTATCATTGAAAACTACATAAAATTTACAAACTTTTTTGTCTCTTGCAATTTTTTTGTAAAGTTAACGGTTTTCGTGAAATTTGGCATCAAATATTTTAAATGGCCGCCATTTTGAAACAGTTAATGATTTTTTAGTATAATTTCTAACGATAATAGGTCTTAATAAGATTAACATTTTTGCAAAATATCAAAGCTGTATCTCAAACCGTTTAGAAGTTATTAGTTTTTTTGTAAAAAACACATAAATACCGACAGTCGGTAAACTAGACACCACAGACCCATGTTCCTATGGTGAAATGTGTTTGTCTTGACCTAAGGAATAACGCTATATACAAGTGTCTAGAGAGTTACGGGACACCCTGTATAGTAAAGTATGGACAATTTATATATACAATATCCTAATGTTGTATTTTATTGCTCTTCTGGTAATATGCAGACTATTACCAGAAGAGCAATAAAATACAACATTAGGATATTTATTTTGAATCATTCACAGTTATAGGTTTTGAAAATAAATCCATCGTAAAGCTTAGTGAATATAAAAAAAAACACTGTTACAGATTAATATGTCATAAAATATTAAATATTTCTAAATAAAATCTTATGTTGTTTTGCAAATATCTCAGATACACTGTCGTATTGGAACTATTAAAAGTTGCAATGTTTATACTAACAATATTTTGAGCATGCAAGCCGTCTATTCTCCTTCTTAATACAATTAACTTATTAATAAATCTGAATATGATTAATTTATAAAACTTTTTGGAATCATTGCCCGCTCTAAGGCCCTGCACGAATAGTTACTGCTTTGTAAATATTTTTCAGCCCAAAGAGGAAAAACTGACCTTTCATTTGTGTATAATAATTATTTTAAAATGGCAATAAATAATTATCTATTGAATATTTCTTAAAGAATTTCAACGTAGATATAACAAAAATCGCCATTGTAATGAAAAAATTGAAATTTTAATGGTTACATCTAAGTACTTCGGGATTCATATATTATAATGGCAGAGTGACTTGTTTATCGTATAAAATTTAAAGTAAACCATACAGTAACCCAATGAAATGAATGAAATGAAATCCTTCTTTATTAAACTATTAATTTTTTAAATCGCTTTGATTTAAATTTGCGATAACATTTACCAAGCAAATAAATTGGTAGTGAGTTTACTAAAGCGTCAAGGACTTCAAATATCATTTATAGTTATTTAGTTGCGCAGTCTGATAAGAGGAAATTGGTGAATGATTTTGTAGTTGGTTTTTGCTAAAGTTTTAGTTTTTACGTGGCATCGTCGGTAGCATATTTACGACATCTTTGGTTCGCAGATTCATTGTTTTGGTAGTATCTCAATTTCAGTTTTTTTAAATTTGGATTCAAGTTAATTACATTTTCTGATTGTTCTCATTTTTAATACCCTATATTTTGAAAATATATACGAGGAATTTGGGAGCTTTGAAACAAAACAAAATAATGGTGTTTAACTACAAACTTTACAAATTATTAAGAGTGTGAATTATAAAGTGCCTGAACTAGCATTCGAAACAACAATATAGATTTTTTTGTTTTTACACCAGTGGCATTTTTTTACGTTTTGAAAGGGAACGTCCAAACCCTAGTCATGTTACTAACGTCGACCTATTTATTAGGTAGCATCATTAATTCATAGCCCAACGACAAATGGCATCTGGGTCTGGGAATTATCTCGCTGGATTCGAACCAGTGACCTTCAGATTTGAAGGCGAGCACTATAACCAATCGGCTACCCAGACAATAGATTGAACTAAGTTCTTTCACGTCGCCAACTTATCAGGAGTTTTAGCAAAGACGAGTCTTTGTAGCGTTTGATTGGCATTCCAAGAACTGATCCGACAGCTCTCGAAAACCGGAAAATCGTAAATGATCATTTAATTGTCCAGGATCGGTAATTGTAGGGAAAAGCTACAGAGGAAAGACTCCGACTCTTGTGTCATGATTATTAGCTGAGCGACTTTCTAGCTTCAGCTGCTACGTAGATCAGCTGATTTTATGAGTTCACTCTCACTCTCAACATCTGATTCACAGCTTCTAATTTATCTTTCGATCGCTCAGCCGGTTTTTGGAGTTATGCAGCCGTAGCTACCGATTCCGAACTGGTTTTTTGAATGAGTTCAGGAAGTGAAGATTACCATTTATACCTCTAGGAAAGGAATAGGAATCGAATCATTCCCATCCAACATCGAACTTTCTAGAGAGCCTCACAGCTTAATTAGAACAATAAATTCGTATGGGATGAGCTATGTACGTGGATAATTCACTTTATCTTCATTCTTCAGATGCTTTCGGTTGATGTGTATAAACTTGAACTATATTTCTTGTTTATTGTGTCCATTGATTTACGTTGGGAAGGGGTCTGAAGATGTAAACGAAATTCGACCGGATACAGGACAAATTGTGTATTTTATAGACACAATAATTGGTTACAATAAAGTTCATTTTAATGTTAAGTTTTTGCGGAATAGTTGTATTAAAAACTTTTAGTACGTTTATTATGTACTAGCTGTACCCGCGGGCTTTGCCCCGTTTAACTTCACAAGTGAGCTCGTTCGCATGGCTCAATCACGTCCTGGTTGAAGTTCGTTCGTTACGCTCACTCACCTTTAGGTTAAAGCTCGTTCGCTCCACTCACTTGTCTTCAGGTTAGCTCGTTCGCTACGCTAACTCGCCTCCAGGTTGAAGTTCGTTCGCTACGCTCACTCACCTTTTGGTTGCAAATTGGCTGTAGTCATAAATTTAAAAAAATAATAGTGCTGCACCCTGTTGGTAATCCTTGTAGCTTTAATGCTATTGATCATCATAGAACAGAACCAACTTGTTTAATTGAAACAGCTGTTGAGAAATTCCTTTTAAATATGAAAAATCATAAGGTTAACATGGGAAACTCCAGAGCCACTGGGGCGGAGCCCGAAAGCCCGATCAGAATAAAAACTACTTAGTTTTCCTATTTAATGCCTAAAGAAAGGCTTTGCCTTTTATATATTTAGATTTGAATCCATCTTGTTGAGGACACAATGTTTCAGTATACCACAGTAGAACCTCGATAAAAAGACGTTCTTGCAAACAAGTGTAATTTTCAGATATTCGTAATTCTGTATGATCCCTAATCACATTTTCTTTCAAACCCCAATAATGAGCCCCTTAAAGATGTTTTTGGATAATCCCCATGAGAAACTTGTTATCATGGCTTTACTGTATTACGAATTTCAAATGTAATTTAAGTATATAGTTACATAATCTTCTTCTATATAAATAAAATTAAAGTTTTGTCTGTACATTGCTTAGAATCATGCAGTTTTTGGTTATTTTTACGTTTCATAGCCTAAGAAAGCCGAAACGAGTCTTATCTCAATTTCTGTCTGTATGTCTGTTTGTCCATTGACTCTGTCTGTAACGACATAATGTCATTTTACGCGGCCTACTCCTTGAAAACTAGAGTACAGATCAATATTCCAATTATTTTTCTGTATTCACTGGATTGGCGAGAGTGTCTTTGGCTATTAAAATATGGCCTAACTACTTGTAAAAAAATATAATGAACCATCAAAACCCAATTTTGTTCGATTTTTGTCAAGTTTTCTCCTAATGTTTACTATTACATTTTATGAAATAACGAACAGCTGTTTGGATCAATTCTCACTTCTAGCTGTCACTGATCCTGATATGTTTAATTGTTTACATTACATTTTGTTTACAAATACTGCAACATTTCCAATCACATTTTGTACGCAAATCGAAAACCGTTCATTGAGGAACCAAGTACGCGTTAATTGACCTTTTGACTTGCATAACGGATTTAATCGATCGCAAGTACTATAATGTTAACTGTAAATTAAAATAATCATCATCCACATCCAGGTCAAGAACCTGCAGATTCTATGTCTATAAAATTCAACTTAAGTTTTGATAACCAGGGAAAATACAGCAAATCAGTGTTGTATAAGACTGGGAAACTTAAATTTTTAAATTATTACCACTAATAGCCTACAATCGAGATTTAACAACGTTTCGATCGCTGTTCTATCAAGTAAATAATTACTACAGTACTGCAGTGGATGATCGCGGGTGTTGCTGTGACCCCGGAAGACCTTTACGATTTCGTTGTCAACGTTACAAGTGAGATTAAAAACCTTTTTCTTACATAACGGATTTAATTAAGTGCAATATCATAGTGTAACCGTAAATTAAATTAAATAACTAGGCATCATCCAGATCAGGAACCAGAAATTCTTTGTGTATAAAATTGTCCTTGAGTTTTGATAACCAGAAAAAAGACCTTGAATCAGTGTTGTATATGGCTGGGACACTTAATGATCGTCGCCAATAGCTTACAAATAATGTTTCCACTCATTGACGGCGCTTCAATGGTGATTGTGTAAAGTGTAAAGTAAAAAAATCACAACTGCAGTGGGTGATTGTAACAGAGGTTTACGGATGATGCTAAACTCGCTTTTCCAATGTGTCACTTTCTGTACTCACCGTGTAATGCAATCGCTGGACTATACAGCAAATTACTAGGCCCTTAGCCCATCTCTTGGGTACGTACGCCTTCCTATTTATTCATATAACAACCTTTTCGACGACGATCCTTGATACCAGTACTTTTCCATAGAATACATAGCTTACCTACTTAAGATATAAAATTACAAATGTCCAAAAACCCAACATTGTGTGATTTTTGTCACATTCAACTGACTACTATAAGATCCCCGTCCGTAGAACGGGCACACAGCTAGTCTTAGTTAAGTTTTAAATATTTTTTTTCAATTTAACTAGCTGAGAAACCACAAACAAACTATATTTGTACATCAACCAGAACTTAAAAATGCTCTTTTTTCAGATCGTACTGGCCGTCGGCCTAGTCCGAGGAGAGGATGTGGAGGTCACGACCGTCACAGCAGAAGAGATGAAACTGGATGACGTCGACACTCCAGTCAAGTCAGACGACGAGAAGAACCCGGAGAAACGAGGATTGTTTAGAGTGACAGGTGTACACGGAGAAAACCCTCAGTACCAAGTAGTGTACGCTCTACCTCAGCAAATACCTCAGCAGCAATATCAGCACCCTGTGGAAACCCGTGCGGTTCCGTCAGCATCTTACAAGCCCTACATGGGGTACTCAGCCCAGCCTACTTACCAGCAACCCTTTGTTATTCCCTCTCCCTCCATGCCTGTGCCCTACAGCACCCCTACACCTATGATCCTCCTCATGATGCCTCCTCACCCTGGTAACCCCTACGGATCTTTGATTTTGGTTCCCGCCAGTAATTTCTTTACTCCTAACCATATCATGCCGTACAACGCTCCAGGAAGGGTTCCGATTCAATTCGTACCCCAGTATGTGCCCGTGCCTGTGAAAGGGTACCAGGGTTCAGCGTACCCCACAGCGCACTTCAAGGACCAGTACTCCCAGAAGCCCCTGGTGCAGTCGCTGGGACCTCAGTACCAGGAGCAGCAGAGTTCTGGGGAGGATGTCTCTCAGGAACACCCAAGCTCAGCGGCGAGTCAGGACTACGGAGCCAGAGTGAGACCGATCGATCAGTATGTTAAGGGGTGAAGAAGAGGCATAATAGAGGGAAGGAGGAGATTGTAAATACAATGAGCCATATATACGTTACACTACTACATGGTAGTTTCAAATGCATTTCAAAGTAAGAAATATTTTCTGTTTAGGAATTGTTTCACGTTGTTGTTGTTAACTTTTAAAATATTTGAACCAGTTTGTCATTTAAAGTAGGACTTTATCAATTTATTTGAATGTAAAGATTTAGGTTATGTTAATTGAAGGTTAGTTCTTTCGACCATTCACCCATTCATTTATTCATAATCACAATTCATCTATCCTCCATTTATTCAACTTATATAATCTTCAACTCATCCACTAACAACTACTATATTTCATAACATTTTCAAACCAAACACATACATCTATCAAACAAATTTAGCTCCAGTTACACCCTTAGTAGTCACGTTTCATAGTTTAACCCAAGGTACCTAGGAGAAAGAAAATGCGGAACTCACAATCAGAGAATTATTTCATAATGCCCAGTTTTATTTGGACAGAATCGATTCTCCCACAACAATACGTTAGATCAGTGACCGCGACTTTTCTCCTCTTCCTAAATTTGCAGAACGACTTCGGTTCCGGCCGAGGGGTCCTGGCAGCGACCGTGAAATATAACAGGTAATCTCCAAACACTCCGCGGGCCAACGTCAAGCGTCATTCCTTAGATGCAGAAAGCGTAAAGTCCTAGAAGGTTATGGTTAGATTATGCTTGTGATTGTTACATATGCTGATGCTAATAGCAGTAAAAGCATAGGCTTGAGACGTTTGGCCATTTACACGCTCTCTCCGACGTCAGTAATGCTTTTGGAGTCTCACCTTTCTCAGATAGCATTTGTCATCTCTTCTCATAGCTCTTTGTCTGCTCTTATTTACATTGAACATATTTTTTCAGTCCATTCTTACCTATCCATCACAACACATAAAAAGGCAACAGTAAAATGGCTATTAGTGCAATAGCATCACGTTTATCAATTATTTTTATTATACTGTTGTGTACATAATGTGATATTGTTGTTTTGTTGATATTGTTGTTGTAAATATTGTTTTTTTTGTTAGATACATGCATTTTTATTGATGTGTCTCCTTATTTTCCATGTCATGATTAAGCTACAATAATTTTATGTGTACTTTAGTGTTATAGAAGTATTTATAATTGGCCATCCACGGATAAATCACCATTCATTAGATCTGTACATGATACCCTAGTAAAATGTATTAGATTTGTATTGAATTTGGATCATATACAGGGTGAGTCTTCTAAGCTGTCCTAAACAGATTACAGACAAAAGGCTTGACATACAGAGATAAAACGAAACTTTTCCCCACTAATTCATACCCAAGGAACAACGTAAACAATTTTTAAAATACAGAGTGTTCGAGAAACTGGGTGTCATAGGTTCGAATCTCAAGAGTTTTCAAATGTAAACATATGTCGTGTTATGCATCATTTTAAAGCTCTAGACTAGACAATTAATTTAGTGAAAACAAAACTTCTTTTATCTTTATCTGTTTCAAAATGGCGGCCATTTGTATGAAAAATATTGATATTTACAGAATATCCTGTATCTTGGAAACCACTAAACTTATTTTATATCTGTTTGAAAATTCTAAATCCTCGTGAGTTCAGCTTTAATTTTATATGTGACATGTCAACATTTAAAAAACGAAATATTTTATTTTTCTTTAATGTTGGTAGCCTTGTAAATAAAAAAAAATAATTGGACACATATGTCAAATGGCTTATCATTTTGAAGGTCTTGCAAAACAAACAACTTTTACACTCAAACCCACCGTCTATCTTTCGTAGTCTTCAAGTAATTAACCAAAAACTGCAATTGCCCATATAAAACCCATGTTAAACGTGCAGTACTTTATTGAATAGTGTATTTGCATCCACTAATCCCAGTACTGCACGTTTTTTAAGCACCATTATTGAAGCTAAATAAGTTTCAAAACGAAAATACTTACCATGTAAAGTTTACCCCTCAAAACTACTTCCAACTGGTTTTTCATTTTGCTAAAACAAGCAAACAGCTGTTTGGTGATTCACAACAACTTAGGGAGTAAAAGGCCTAATTTAGACTACCTTTATACCCTCATGCATGTATGTAAATCCTGAAAGAAAATAATTAGTTTCGAGGGTTCAGTGTAGTAATCAACAGGCTTACCTCATATCCATTATTCAGTATGTAATTATTGATTTTAATGTTATCCATCCAACATGCAAATTCCGTTGAAGATAAGCTTAATCAGAGATCTATTTGTCAATATTCTTTAAGTCACTTTCTATATATTTATGTGAATGTACGTATTATATGCATGGGATAACAGTAGTATGGTTAAGAATGCTCACATAAAATTATTAAATTATTAAGTAACTGATTTTACTATCACAATTGGCTTATAAATTTGAAAGTTTGCCTATCGAGTACTTAACGATTCGGTTTGACAGCGACTGCTCGACCCCCGACTAACCACACAGAGTGACATTCTCAACCCGCTCAGTTTGATGTGTTTGTAGTGGGATGTGTTACAGTGAGATCCTTGTTATAGTGGAGCCGTAGCCCCTTCAGAATGATGACATGCTCGACAACCTCGTGCGTATCCCACCCTTCGACACACGTTAAGCTGCTTTCTCGTATTATCCGGCTATTAGTGTATTAGGGAAAACATATCATGCAGGAAATCTTGAGTGAATATAATTAAATCATTAAAAGAGCCAGATACATCTTTAAATTTAGAAGAAAGATTAATCTTCCGTTAGAACATATTTTGCTAACATTTAATTGTCAGTTTGGTAAGAGTAATTCGGAATTTCTTAAGCTAATTATTTGTAACTTGTACCCGTGGCTACACCCGCGGGAAATAATCATAAATATCATATATGATATGTGTATTACAGTGTACAATGTGTATTACAGTGTACAATTTGTATTACAGTGTATTACAATGTAGGGCGAGAGCACCAGTATGACCACCCCCAGTGAATGATCGTTTCGTATTAAAAACATCATATTAGGCTTTCTGTTTTTCCTAATCCACCACAAACTGTCTTAAAGTACCCTTGGGGCATAATTGAAATGCACCTACAGTTAAGAGTGAACTATTAACTGTATCTGTCAACATTACTGGTGCTGTTAACAGTATGGAAAATATGTGATATTTTGTTATGTACAATTCTTTTCTCATTTTAATAGCAAAATCCTGACCAAAGATTGTTTAAACGGCCGGTCAATTACTGGATCATGAAATTGATGCCCGTTTCGGTGGATTTGGATAAATTCTCTTAATGGGTATTGATGACGATGTTTTCCGATGGGTTGAGATCTAGGAAACACAAAATCTCATAAAAAAACCATGTGGATACACCATAACCAAAATTTTACCGCGAGTTAAATCTTACGGTATTCACTACAGTTATAAAAAGTAGTCATTCACTAGGACCTATATTTAAAGACCATGATATCGTTATTTTTCTATATGTCCAGCTTCGATGTGATAGCCTTAAACGGGTTATTTGGGGGAAAGGGGGTAGTTCTATGCAATAACTCTTTGGACATAATACATTACGTTGTATCATTAGTAAGCGCGTGATATTTTTATACGTCAAAACAGCTTCCATAACTGGATGCTTGGTATTTTCCTTTTATCACTTTAACTTTTTATCACAGTCTATGCCTTTGGTTCTGTTAATGTTTTGCTAACAGTTATCATTAGTATGGAAGTTTACCAAAAACTGCTTTTGTACTTACGTTCATCGATTGACTTCTAAATCATTTTTCACTGGTTAGGGTTCCATTCTTTTCCATGAGCATTGACATGCATATTTTTTAACATTAGAAACCCAAAGATACGGAAACTACCTCCCTATATATGGAAAATACTGTTATGTATTTATGTATATTTATCAATATAATTATGTATTGGTGCTCCTTTTACTATGTATACTAAATACTTACTATGCATGCTAGGTTATACTGTTTGAACATTTTCTACTCGGAACGACAGGCAATCTCCTCCCCCCTAAACAATATTATTTTTTCACCCTCGGAACCTGTCATAGTAATTACTTAGTGAAAAAATATATTGCCAGGAAACTTACAGACTCACTAGGAAAATTAAGTGCATTGCAATGCTGGCAGCGTTGGTCTAGGCTACCAACACTATAGATTACATTGTTCTCGTTTATAAGAGGTTGTCTAAAATTTTGGTAACGATCGTTATTACCATCTTCACCTCCGTTGAAATTTGTTTTTAACAATTCCCTTTGCTGTGCACCATTTCTAAATCCTCTCCTTCGTAGTCACGGTCTTCTTTTATTAACCGACTTCCCCACTACCAACAAAAGGAGGAGGTTCTCAATTTGTTTGTGGCGATGTTTTTTTTTTCTATGTATGTTCACCAATTTCTCTGTGATTCTTTTACCGATCAGTGTGGTTCCACCACCAAAATAACCAGGAGAGTTTCTATTTGGTACCTTATATATTATGTTTAAGTATAATATTTGTTTCGGTGAAAAATTCTGAAAACCTTAAATATTCAACATTTATTTTGTTTACATTTGTGCAGATTGTTTACATTTGTGAAGAGAAGGCAATAAATAATAATAACATTCCTACAGCTGTTAGTTGAAACCATTTGAATGAAGCTACAGACAATTCTTCATGAAACAGTTGCTTCATATTGATCAATAAACTATTTCTTGCCATGGAGCCTAAATGAATTTCATTGAGAAAAATGCATTTTGTTTTGGTTACTATAAAAAATGTATTTTAACGTTTGACCAGATTTGTGTATATAGTATTGAATATTCTGACTTAAGTACATAATCGTCAATTGTCTTAAAAGTGTTAAATATTTTAATTACTAAACATGCATTTGCAGATGTGGAATGTTTATTGATATTCTCTACCCAGTTACTATATCATATCAATACTATTATGCCTGCTTCGGAAAGTCCTAGAGAAAGATGATTTGCAATGTCGACTAGGCTATATCTTGAGCAAACAAAATCCCCTACATGACTTACACCACATTTAGCTGAACCAATCTTTCATATAATATTTTCCAAAGGTACTATGGTGTTAACAACCAATTTTCCACTTTTGAGAGATTTTTTAGTGCTGGTAGCTGAGGAATAACTTTCATATTGTTCCAAAAGGCTTGAGACGTTACTGTATTTCTTTTTATAATGTAGATTATAGTATTTAGAAGTACACCGATTGCAGGAAACGATGATGTCTGACATTTCAATGTATCTAGAAAAGACAATTAGTTTTTCACTAGGCCTAATGTAATGGACAACTCTTTCTTTCTTAAGGAATATCTAAAGTTGTTTATTTTCATACCCATTGATTATGTAACCTGAACAGGTGACTAATGATTGTTCTGTGGAACTTTTGATTGTTTCAAACAGTTTTGCTTATCAAAAATCCTCAAGTAATTAATATATAAAAAATTATACAGTCACTAAAAATCATGAAATAATTTATCTTTGTAAAAAAATACAACCGACTTCAAATGCTCTAAAAAGAATGAAATAATTTCAATAAAGTAAACTTTTGTATTAGGCAAGCTCACGTATTTCAAGTCGGCGCGGCTCAAACTGCAAATATGATTGAAATTAAATATTGTGTGTGTGTTTTGAAAATCAATAAATTGTAGCTGGATAACATAAATATATAAAAAAACATACTGAACAGTTTTGTTTATATATTAAAGGAAATATTTTCTTGTATTTTATGTTTACTTCAGAATAAATGCATTATAAAAATAACACACACAAATGTTCTATATGAATAGGAAAATAATTTAGTTTGATATTATGATAGGGAAAAGAAGCCGTTAATACCACTATAATGCCGATCTCTGATTACGGTAATAAAATAACACTTAACGCATAACTATGAGAAAGACATGCAGATTAACGCCTTTAGTTATAGATAGTCACCTGCAATATGGACACCCTCTTTCAATTTTGTATCAAAAATCATCATAGAGCCGCGCCAACTTAAAATACGTGAGCTTGCCTAATACAAAAGTTTACTTTATTGAAATTATTTCATTCTTTTTAGG